CAAATTATAACCAATAAGTTCACATCATTCAAATATGGATCTTAAGAAAGCGATAAGCAATCAGGTGTATATTATAATGAATACGTACGTTAGTTCACGAATTCAATTCGGTAGATAGAAGTCGGTGTCGCAATTATTGTTATACATAACTTTCAAACTTGACGCAATGTACCTATAAGGTGAGTGTACCACTGCAACAAAGACTTTCCTTTTCGACATTCTGCAAATCTCTCCTTTTGAGAAGAAAAACTGAAAAAAAAGATTATCACAAGATAATTCAGAAATTTATATGAAGAATAATTCATAACAAAATGTATTCCCTCTTCCCTATGCAACCATAACTAATTTTCAAAAAAAAAATAATTTGCTCTATTTTCTATATTCTGCCTTTTATTTGTCTGACTGAAAGAAGCTGAATGAAATTATAAACTGTGTAGTATGTTCAACAACTCATATATGAACAATAATTGTAATAAACATGATTTACTTGGTAAAAATACCGTATTTTTCTGCATAAAAACGAAAGAATTGCAACATTTCGAAAACGGGAAGTCTTTATCGCAGGTTAAGTGTACTTAAGAAATATCATTCAGTGATTTTATTGCAGGGATACAATCTCCATGGTAAGGCCAACGAATACTTACCTTATTATACTATACGTTATTGTGTTCTGTACACAATGTCAGTAATTGCTTAACTTGTTTCTCTTCAGTGAATGACGTAGAAAGGCATGTCTTTATAAATGTATCTCAGAGCACAGCGCCCGCAATAAAATACTCACGTGACCCATTTCTCAGGTTTCCAATGGTACTTGTCATGATCAGTGTTCCTCTGTTACAGTGTTTGAAGGGGGCCTTCAAATCAAAACTGTGCTAACTATTGTGAAGGTTTTATCAAGAGTTATTTTCCAGCCGCACAAACTTTTGAATACATTAATTTTGCCTGAAATTTAGGAATATCTTTCGATGTTATGAAGAACGTCATTCAAGTTAGCTTCTCATATCACGCGCTTGAACAACCAGCGGCGATTGCAACTGTATCCATGGCAACGATACTTTTACATGAGTCGATATGCAAAAAGTATGTGTTGGTGCTGTTTAGTGACATTACTGTGCATCAAATGGAAGAATGCACGACAAATACTTTATGTATATAGTATATATTTCTATGATTCAGATGTGATACAGGCAGAATGTGTCACGTCTACATACAATACCATAAAACAGCAACGATTGACGTACGTTGAAAGTAGAACGGGTGAACTAGGCTAATTGTGATCAGTTATCACCGTCCTCATTTGCTATGAGTGTTTTGATGTGACACACAAGCTGACAGGCCGTTGATTACTTCCGTGCAATGTGCACGTAATTATTGGAGCACAAATATTTAGTATAAATACACGACAAAAACAGAGATCGATGCATCCATCCCACTTATCGCTATGTAAATTGTTTCCACGACCTCTCTTCAGCATGTTTGTGCACGTATACGGCTTCGGCGACTGCTCCCGACCAATTGATTGGCAAACGCGGATTGTCAACACTGCAGCACGGTATCCACTCTGTCATCGACATGCACTAATGTTCGTATATAATGACTATGAACAAATGCACCGGGCGTGGCACCGTCTGAGTCGGCGTTTTCACAAGATGGTGGCATGTTTTGGATACCCTACTTTCAACTGAACATTTTCTTTCGAATGACGGGCGCCCTAGTCGTCTTTAATTGAGAAACATGCAGCTAGTATATGTATACTGCATATAATATTAGAAACTGAATATAAAATTATTTAAATAAAAAAAAATAAAAACGCATCACGGGCTTCGCACTTGAGATCACGACATGTTCATTAGCACTGAGGACAGACGTGCTTCCTATTAAACCACACCGAAATATACAATGAAACACGACTTCTCAGTGTCTAGATAGACACGCATAACCCGAATATTGTACATTACAAACAACATGAAGTGTATTACTACACGCTTATAAACCATATATCCATTGCTATTATTGTGAGTAGAACATGGCACCTTGTAGTGTATTGCCTCTGTGATTCTTTATAAGAGTCTCTGAAATATTCCTAGAATTTCCTGAGTTTACCACAGCTGTGGTTGTTGGTTACAATATGTAGATGCGTACATTCCTTGGATTCTAACATACCTCGTAGAATTAATAGCTTGTGACAGTTCCCATTCATTTCACTCAAGTCAAATAGTTTCAAGTGTCTATAGTTGTACTATGTTAGGTCATTGCAAATGAATAGCGCGTGTTGGTGGGGCCCTGACAAATGATAAAATATCTTAATCGTAACAAATTGCAATGCGTTGAGTGCATCAAACACAGATCGAAAATCACAACTATCGGTGGGAACTCATGGCAAGCCACACTACCCACACGATTAGGTTTCATAGTTAATTGAAAACGATCCTAAATTAAATGAGTTTTGATTTTTCATCGACAATTACATGTAAGTTACTATAACGAAGACATGGAAATGCAATTCGCATCGCTGACGTATCAGACAGATACATAGTTGTGAGACTTTCTGAGCGCAAGGATATGAACATCCAGGACAGTATTATCAGATCAATGATCTTAACACAAGCACATCTATTTGAACAAACTACTACCTCAGTATGAAAGTGGTTTGCCTAATTACATAGATGGCGCTACAATTGTTAGTCGTACTTACAGAATACAAATGATCATTACAGTAATGGGTACTTCTAATCAACAATTTCTATTTATAGAAATCCAAACTGACGTCGGTGATGTTATTTCAAAAAATATGCAATACCATAATATAAATTGTACTATACTACGTAGCAGGTTTGTAGATTCACACGATATTGAATATCGCATTTGATTGTACAATTGTTTGGAGTGACTCGCCTGGTAACGTGCATTATATCATCACCGACATAGATAGCATCACCGACATGTTGGAGCAGTACGTAATTACGTGTGTACTTCATTTTTAGTCTTCGAAGATCTCAGTGAATCAATTGTACCTAATTAGGTTAATACGCTTTTGCAATTAGAGGTTTGAAGGATGTCATCTAAGGATAAGTTGTCTGTTGCGAACTGGCAATATCATGTACTCAATAATGCGATTAAAACTACTGAAATAACGTCTTTTAACGGGAACACGATTACTCTCGTGATTATGTTGTAAATAATTATATATATAATGTTATATATATACATAACATTAGCTCAGTCTTCCGACGAGGGAGATATTTTAATCGTACTATTAATTGTATTAATACTATTAATTAATTAATTGTATGTTGATGTTTGCTGGCAATACAAATGTCAGACAGACATATTATCCCTATAGAACATTGGATATAATGAATTATTGTTTACGAGCAAATGAATAAGAACAATTTCAAAGTTAAGCCAACCAATGATCTAAATAAATAAATAAATGTTCAAATTGTTGTTTATTTGGTCAGCTACAATAAAAGATAAAATTACCGGACACATATAGATATACAGTCTGTTTAAGTAAACTAGTTTTGCAAAATAATTCAATTGTTTGATAATCATTGTACTAATGTGTAAATTAGGATGTCTGTATCCATTTTTTCATGTTTTGCGGCTACCGTCTACTGGAAGCGCCTCCGCCTATGGCATAAAAGAAGCAGGAACAAGGTTCGACTCGTGTGTTTAGTATATATCAGAGGTGGAATAAGATAGATGAGCTTATTTTAAAAGGGGTTATGCGTTTCATATGCAGTTAATTACTGCCATAAACGAAAAAATGTAGCACAATATTTTCTTGTGATTATTTGAGACATAATCAACATATTTTGACTTTTTAAATTGACAAATTAACAGCAACTATATTCCCATTTGATTACCACATCAAATATTACTATTATTTGACCAGCGTTATATCAGAGTTATTTTTATTTTGTATAGGAAATATGTTTGCACAAAATCCCCATTCCCAATGCAGAGAACAGGTGTAGACGCGAATGACTAAACATAATTTACATATATGTAAATATATAATTAGTCGGGTAAATATATTGTACACTTATATTAAATAGTAACGTTATATTGCATTTCTCGGGGATTCGTGTGTTTTTTGAAATTTATTTGATGTAATATCACAATGCAGATAAATATCAAGTGTCTCGTCCATACAGGCAGGCGAGTGACAAAACATTGACTAAGAATATGGGAACAATTTAGCCTATTTAGCCATACCGTATACCATCAGAATATCACACACAAATACCATGGTTTTTTAACGATGTTAATTATATGTTTCTATGAACAATGTTGTTTGTATATTATGAATTAAGCAACGTACATAAATTGTGTACATGTCTGAGCAGAAATCTTTGACAATATTTCATTTAAATACAATAATATTTTTGAAACAATCCTTATATTAGATACACAATGTGTTGTTCGCTTATCCTTATATCAATATAAAACTTTGACGACATTTACAACACGTAAATTGATATGTAATATATTTCATGGAAGGCATAACAGAACCTCAGATACAACAACTAAAATTCCATGAAAACAACCTAAACGCGGAATATCGAGATATGATGACTGTGACAACCATAACTGAGTATTCAATGAGATGCAGAAGATTCTGTAAAACACGAAACATCTAATTAATTTTCTGACGTTTCAACATAATATTTACACATTTACTAAGAGTTGTAGTTGCCTCTCATTCGCATCAACTCAGAATTAAGTGTTTTATTCGCCGCAGCTGTAAATCGCGCAGTATCATCAACTTAAATTATTATCTCTAATAGTCACTGCAGAGTTATTAGTTAGTCACATCAACTTGCAACTTGATCGTTTTTACGACTTAAACCCGTCCAACGGTCGTTCACGGAAATAGCAAAACACACTGACTGAATATATAGCTAAACAATAGAACTGTCTTATAAATATATTGGCTTCAATATATAAAAAATATTTTTTCCGTAAAATATATCTGCCTGTTGATTACCAGTAGATTAGTGCAGTTCGCCGCCACTCACAATCACATCAACTACAGGAGTTGGGCCAACTTTAGGGGTTTTCTTTTCAAGCTTGAACACTTTCTTGTACTCTCGTTTGAAGTTGTCCTGTATAGTGTAAAAAAGTAAAAATACAGTGAATAGGGTGATTTAAATTACTTTACCCTGAGTCAGATATTCACCATGGATGTTTGGACGACAACGTGTAAGAACAAATAACCTTAAAACAGACTGAAACTTTGAATGCCAAAACCATTAGTCAAATTAGACGCTCGACATATGTTCTTTAGAATATTCACTTTACCTGTTGAACATTAAATATATTAGCTACGTGATAGTAACAAGCCGTTCGTTCTTTAGGGCGAATGGGTATCTATGGGAAAGGATATTATTTAACCGCAGTCACAGATGCATACATGATTGCAACTGCAATGCCTTCAAGGTATACTTACGTTGAGTAAACCATATACGAATGGATTGCACGCAGCGTTGCTCATTGCTAACCAGTTACAGCAGAACCATATAATATTGATATACTTGTAACTAAAAAATAAAATGTAACACTTTTGAATTTTCGAATCGTAAATATATAATACACTACATCGTCATTTAATTAATGCTAGGTGTGTTTTTTTTTTTGTTTTTTTTTTTCAACCGTCACTTTATTAAGATCTGGAATATACGCGGCATACATTCATGCCTATGAGGTAATTTGCAATCAGACCAAGAATATTTCCAATTGGGTAAGTGTTGAGCTAACAGATGGGAAATTATAATACTAAATTGAACACAATTCAATTTGTTGTGTAATATTTGCTGTGGGAGGCCAATATGATATACGAAGTGAAGCAAATTCTTACATTTATATTATATTATATTAGAGCTAGTCACACATTTGACATAATATGATTATAAAACAATGCTTCAACAACAAATCCTCAAAATGAGTTAAAAATTGTGCAGTCGGTGGCACATATATACCATAATGTTTAGATATGAGCATTTTGTATCCGGTTGTGGATTAATATTTTATTGCAGAGTACCCGATATCGTTGAGGTTTTATTTCTGCTCACCATAAATGTGATACCATTGACGCGCCCAGTGCAGTGTTTTGAATCTTAGCTTTCAGATCTCAATGCTTGTTAGTCATATCATTTTGCAATTACTAACCTCAGGATGTCTGGCGTTGTAAACTTCAAAATATCGTACATTTGAAGTGGTAACCAACAGAACGCAAATAGAATTACTAAAACCATTACCATTTTAATAACCTACGTATGGAAGAACAGGACATATGATGTATTTGATTTATGTGTACCCCTTAGTGTCAGCGTTATTATCATTCATATTTGCAGCGCGCCAATTTTTTGACGGCAAACATGATTTGACATACAATATAAGTAGACATCGACGTTCTCTAGAAATAGCCACGATGAAGTAGGTGATGGGAGAAGGCAACGTAACCTTTTCATATGAGCAATGTAGAGAATAGACTATCTAAAGATGGTGACATTGAACTATCATTATTATACACTGTGACTCATTAGTCAAATTCAGTATATTCGTATATTATAATATTATTGATAATCATTGTACTAATTATTATTCTAATAATGCACATTGCCTTTAGGTTTCTTAGTTTTGTTAATTCATTTTAATTTCATTCATTTTTTCCGTGTGTCAAAATATGTTCTCAGCTTTTCAATCAGTGCATAGACTCAACGAAAACACAATTTATATTATCAGGATTTATATTGGAGTATTAATAAGTAATAAGTCCAATATGAATTAGGGATATTATATTCTTAAAAGAGGGGAGGCAAGGGGGTAGCTGGTACTGTTTTACGGGAAATAAAAAGGGCTTTTTACAATTTACAAGGAAAAAAAAGACGTTTTTACAGTTTACAGTGAAAAATGAATTTTGCAGTGAATTGTGTCATCTAGTCGTTTTACAGTTTCGAAAATGTAATTTCCATGGATTATTCTTTACGACTTTTTTTATTTTGGATGTAAATTCTTGTACGTACCGAGAAAAATGACACATTTTTACAGTGTACGAAAAAAATATTTGATTGATTACGTTGTACGTCTAGCCTGTGATTACAGAATAACGGAATTTATTTTTTCAATTTACGTTGTACGAACAAACAAATATTGCAATTACGTTGAACGAAAATAACCCTTGCCCCCCCTAAAATGATAACCTTGATAGGGATTATGTACCACAGGTAAGATTCTATATTTCAGCAACTCGATATTTAGTTTAATTAGCGAAACAACCTTGGAGTGGAGCTTATTGTTCATCCACATTCAGGATCAATGAATGTGTGTTTGAAGATAGCATTACATTGTGGGAGTCAGATCATGGACGATAGTTTTACATCCGCTCGCATTTTCATATAAATCTATAAGAGGTTTAAACATAATGAGGGAGTTGCCTTAGTTAATGAGACAAATTAAATTTCATATTTTTGAGATTCAACATTTTACACAACACCTATATTATATTATGTGTTTTTGCTATCGTAAAAATAAAATAATAATAAAATCATACATGCGAGATTTTCTTGGTTTAAAAAGTGTATTTTTGTGTATCATTTAATTACGACATTAGTTTTTTTTTTTAATTTGGACGGAGTTGTTTTGAATCCTGTTAATTTTACTAAAATGTGTACTCACCTTCCTTTTATTCTTAGCAATATTTTGATCTCTCGTGACACTACTCTCTCCCGGTGTCTTGCTGAAGTACATTTTTATTGCAATCAAACTATACGCAATTGTGATTATAACTAATGGTACAGCGTAAGACAAGACAAAAATGTATATATGATAAATACTTCGACTTCGTTCGCTTTCCCATGTCGGAATGCAAAACACCAGAGAGTTTCCGTCTGGGAAGCTGTATGTATACGTATGTAAATTCCAAACAAGCGGTATCGAAGAACATATTCCATTTATCCATATTATTGACACCGTAACACCTGACGAAAATGGTGATAATCTTTTTTTTAACGGATGACATACAGCAAAATATCTATCTACGGATATAACAGTCAGTGTACCAATGCTTACTAATATAGAAAGTGTTTTTACGAACGGTACAAAGGGACACATAAAATCACCAAACGGCCATCTGTACAGAATCGCAGGAGCGAATTGGAATGGCGTAGCGAACAGTCCTTGAATAATGTCGCTGATAGCTAGGTTAACCAATAATGCATTTGTGATCGTTCTCATTTTCTTGTTTCGCACCACGACGAATATGACAAGTGAATTCCCGAGAACTGACATCAAGGAGACGACGCCATATAGTATAGACAACACAACAGTTGTAGTCAAAGATGAATTCCACGGCGATGATGGAGTATTTGTGATGTTATTCGACATTGCATCGGATACATTATCTATTGCTTCAGCAGTAAATGTTTCAGTGGTCGCCATATTTTTAAGTATTCTCACTAACAGAATTATAACCTAATTTCGGCAACACATCCGCTTACCTTTTGACAGCAGTAATCTAATCAATAACGTTAAGAAATATCACCTGCAGCAAAACCGTCGCTAACTAGACGGAGGATGGTACTTTATATGTTCCGGTACAGTGTTATATATGGTATCACTCGTATCGGTCTGGACAAAGAATGCACGTAGGTCGCTTGAACGCTAATATTAGATGTTAATATATTCAGCAGCCCTGGAAGTGAAGCAGTTAATCGTCTCGGTCAGCGTGACAAATTGTTGAAAAGACTAGTTCAATTATAGCAATGCAGATAATTAAATCAAACACATTTTCTGCGTGCCAGACACATTCAATTAATGAAAATCTCCATGAACAGCGGGTAAAACGAAACACAGTTGTTATGGTGATTACGTACATAGATGATATTACATGTTGTTCGTAGATCGTGACATCTACGAGCGTTATATCATACATACACACAAGAAAAATGTACACAACCACAAGTTGTCTAACCAGATGACATAGTATACCATCTCACAGTGCATTAAGTGAGATTTGACCTTTGACATTTACTTATAACATCCTGCATTGTATATATAATATCCAATATATCACAGTTATTCAAGGCGATTATTAATCTCTAATCATTAACTTTGACAGCAGTATGATTTTCCTATTCATATGTTCATGCAAGCAATATGTCGGCTTATACCAAACATATGGCGTATAGCAATTTGAATAGGTAATTATATATTAAAGGGGAACTAAATAGAGCATATTTTGATGTTTGTATTTATCAAGTTATGTATATTGATTATAAATTTGAAAAAAAAAATAAAAAAAATGATTATCTTCAGATTTAAATATGAGAAACCATAAACCTGCGAAGGACTTCCGTTTGCGCCATCTTGCCATAAAAAAACGCCCTCATGAGGTATAAACAGGTAAGGTAACAAAGCATGATGACGAAATAGTATCTGATTACATATAAGCAACTTAGGGAGCCATAGCTGGCTGGACTTCTAGTCTAGGTTGTTTCGACTTTTACGTTAATGTTATTTACAAGCATATCAACATACAAACATTATGGATGTGCGATTGATCGAGACAGGCATTTTTTTTTTTTTTTTCTAACTGTCTAATAAATGCTGTTTCCAGTACTGCACTGTGCGGCGTGCAAATTATTCAAAGTATGGATGCTGGAGTATAATATCTTGAGTTCGTAGGGTGGTGGTGGAAACATTTTCGCCCATGTATTCACGGGGCTGCACTGGCAAATCATGGGACAAGTGTCACAGGAACACCAAACAAATTGTTCACAGACTTCCGTGTAATTTGAAATATTACTTTCATCCGAACAAGTGGCATCGTCGACGATATACTCTCATCACTCACACTGGACTGATCTGAATCGTCACAGTATACCGTACTTCCCTGATCATAAGCCCGGAGGCATGAACACGTAAATGAAAAGTAAGGGATGAGTTTGTACTCGTGGACCAACTCAGAAAAAATGAT